AAAAGCAGGTGTCCCGTGTTCTTGGCCACACTTGCCCAGAGTAAAGCTTCTATCATACTGAGATGGGGTGGCAGGGTAGGCTGGGAGGAGAGGAATGTTGGGAGTAGGTCATGGCTCAAAAGCAACAGACTCACTGGTCTTAATGAGATGTAGTAGATTTTCTTGAACATGTGTTCCTTCATTTGCCGTATGCTCTTAGGACAATTTCTAAAAAAAAACACCAACTTAAACTATAATTAAATTTTTCACTAGGTAAATGTCTTTCACTGGGGAAGAGAACCACACTCTTCACATGGCCATTCTACAAATCCCACCTCAGTAGATGTATTTTACTTGAGTAAATAGTTTATTATATACATTATATCAACTTTTAAAAAATTTTATATAAGACACACAAAATTAGAAAATTTAAATGACTATAAAGAAGAGATATTTGAAATTAATAAGAGAGGACAGAGAACTGATATGATGATGCTAGTGCAACTGATACTAGTCTTACCATTCTGAGCATCGTGGCGTTCAAAGCACCGTATTGACAGCTATCATTTATTCAAAGCATGGTATTGACAGATACCATTTATTCAGTGGCAGAAATGTATCAGGAGCTTTTCATACATTTGGTTGAAATTTCATAATAATTACACATGGTAATTGGTATAATTTCTGACTTATAAATAAGAAAACTGACCCTTAGTGTTTTACAGAGAGAAAGCAGAGAACTGGGATTGATTGAAATTCAAATAAACTTTACTTCAAGTCTGTACTCTTTATGCTCTTCATAAAAGGGAGCATTTAATTTAATCTGGAGAACTATTTTCCAGGAATTAAGTTCTATGAGAATTTCAGGAATATTAAATAGACAACACTGACTAAACATTTGATGAGAATATTTTTTTGCATGGCTATTACAATTGCTGATTTGTTGAGGTAAATGAAAGTAGTTTCTTTCAAAGTCTGTTAACTCTTCAGTTGGTTTTGTGTAGTTTTCTGGAATTCTTAATCCAGTAGAGTTTGTTTAGACACTTTATCAATATATACACTGAGTGGACAGATTATTATGACCACCAGATGTTTGTAGGCAAATTAGCCGTACACTGTATTGTATGGGATATGGAAGTCGAAGACCTGTTCAAACACCTTTGATGTCTGCAGTTACCAAGATAAAACATCTCCAATTCGCACAGGAACACAAGGATTGGACAGTTGAGCATTGGAAAAAAGTCATGTGGTCCGATGAATCACGTTTCCAGTTGCATCATGCAGATGGCAGAGTGAGAATTTGGTGGAAACAGCATGAAAGCATGCACCCCACACGCATGAGTACAACCCTTCCAGCTGGTGGGGGCATTGTTATGGATTGGGGCATGCTTTCCTGGCATGATTTGGGCCCTTTAATTCGTGTGGAATAACGTCTGAATAGCACAACATACCTAAGTATCGTTGCTGATCAAGTTCATCCTATCATGTTGATGGCGTATCCCAATGGAGATGGCTTCTTCCCACAAGACAATGAGCCATGCCACGGTGCTCATATTGGGCAGGAGTGGTTTCAGGAACATGAGGGAGACTTTACCTTGCTTAGATGACCCCCACAATCACCAGGCCTCAATCCAATTGAGCATTTGTGGGACGAAGTTAAAAGAGCCATCAGGCAGCTGGTTCCACAACCATCAAATCTCACAGAACTGGACAGTGCTATTCATCAGGCATGGTGTCAGATTCCTCGCATCACCTTTCAACATCTTATGGAGTCAATGCCAAGAAGAATCGCTGCAGTAGTGAAGGCAAAAGGTGGCCCAACGAAGTACTGATGGGGTGGTCATAATAATCTGGCCACTCAGTGTATAATGCAGTGTATATATGCAGTGTATACATGCAGTGTTAAATCGTGTTGTTTACCCATATCTTCAGAAAAAAGTCACTTCTACTGTCATGGTAAACAACCTGCTTCCCTATTTACAATGGTCTGGCCCTCTAGCAACTTCAGCATGAAATTATAGCTAATTTGCCTACAAATGTCAGGTGATCATAATCATCTGGCCACTCAGTGTATATGTCAGCAATAAATACCACTATGCAGTCACTGTGTTAAATTCAAAATATGTTATTTCTAAAAATATAATATACGTTGAACCTTGAACAATGTGAGGTTTAGGTGTGCCAAACACAGTTCAGTCAAAAACTCACCTGTAACTTTTGACTCCCACAGCACTTAACGATTAATAGCCTACTGTTTACTGGAAGCTATACTGATAACATACATTGTCATTAACACATATTTTTTTTTTAATTAAATCTTTATTGTTCAGATTATTACATTTGTTCCTCTTTTTTTTCCCCCCATGACTCCCCTCCTCCCAGTTCCCGCCCCACCCTCTGCCCTCACTCCCCACCCACTGTCCTCATCCATAGGTGCACGATTTTTGTCCAGTCTCTTCCCGCATCTCCCACACCCCTTTCCCCCCCAGGAATAGTCAGTCCATTCCCTTTCTATGTCCCTGATTCTAATATAATCAACAGTTCATTCTGTTCATCAGATTATTTATTCACTTGATTCTTAGATTCACTTGTTGATAGATGCATATTTGTTGTTCATAATTTGTATCTTTACCTTTTTCTTCCTCTTCCTCTTCTTAAAGGATACCTTTCAGCATTTCATATAATCCTGGTTTGGTGGTGATGAACTCCTTTAGCTTTTCCTTATCTGTGAAGCTCTTTATCTGACCTTCAATTCTGAATGATAGCTTTGCTGGATAAAGTAATCTTGGTTGTAGGTTCTTGGTATTCATCACTTTGAATATTTCTTGCCACTCCCTTCTGGCCTGCAAAGTTTCTGTTGAGAAATCAGCTGACAGTCCTATGGGTATTCCCTTGTAGGTAACTGAGCCTCTTTCTCTTGCTGTTTTTAAGACTCTCTCTTTATCTTTTGCTCTTGGCATTTTAATGATGATGTGTCTTGGTGTGGTCCTCTTTGGATTCCTTTTGTTTGGGGTTCTCCGCGCTTCTTGGACCTGTAAGTCCATTTCTTTCACCAGGTGGGGGAAGTTTTCTGTCATTATTTCTTCAAATAGGTTTTCAATATCTTGCTCTCTCTCATCTTCTGGCACCCCTATAATTCTGATGTTGGTACGCTTGAAGCTGTCCCAGAGGCTCCTTACACTATCCTCGCATTTTTGGATTCTTTTTTCATTTTGCTTTTCCCGTTGGGTGTTTTTTGCTAACTCGCATTTCAAATCATTGACTTGATTCTTGCGCTCCTCTGGTCTGCTGTCGGGAGTCTGTATAATATTCGTTATTTCAGTCCGTGTATGCTTAATTTCTAGTTGGTTCCCCAATATAAGATCGAGGGTCTCATTAGTTTTCTTGTAGATCTCATTAAGTTTATCGGCGGCTTCTAAACAGTTCTTGAGAGACCTTAAAAGTGTGGTTCTGAACTCTATATCTTCCATTGACAATTTTGTCCTGTTTCTTTGTCTCCGCATTTTGTTATGCTTCCTTGGTGCACCCCCTAGTGGTCTTTGTTCGCAGTCTTATAGTTAAATCTTGATTGTTGTAGCTAATTCCAGGGAGGGTTTGACCTCCAGGCCAAGTGGCTATGAGAATCAGCTGTGTCAGCAGTGAGAGAACTTCTGTCCTCTAGGGAGGTGCTAATCTGGCGTTTGCCTGAGGCTATCCGGCAAATGCCTCAGTGCAGGGCTTGGGCGGGGCGGGTCGCACAGGATCAACAGGGCGGGCCGGAGAGAGCAGTTATGGCGGCTCTCAGTCCTGTCCCCAGGGGCTCTGCCTCTCTGAGTCCCAGCACCCACTGCAAAGCTCGGAGAGAAAGCTGCACTCGCTCTGACCGAAGCCAGGCAGTCCCGCTTCTCCCGTTTGAGTCTGGGTCCCTAAAGACTCCCCTGTATCTGGAGCTCAGAGTCTGCGACTCCCTCCCGATTGAAAACGCCAACCGCGCCCTCCGCCGCCAGCCCGCTCCGCGCACTCCGCACCTCAGAATTTGACTTCAGCACTGCGCCTCCTCTGAGTGTCCGTATGCGTTTCTCTTTCCTCCTAGTTGTAGGACTTCCACTCAGCCAGCGCTCCTGTGGTTCTGGGTGATGTCCCTTCTGTTTTTTGGTTTCACTTTTGAAGTAGTTGTTCAAAGCAGCAAACTCAGGCGTTAACCTATGCCGCCATCTTGGTTCCTCTCAACACATATTTTTTATATTATATATATTATATACTGCATTCTTACAATAAAATAAACTAAAGAAAATGTTAAGAAAATCATAAGAGGAAGTACATTTATATTATTTATTGAAAAAAATCTGCATATAAATGGACCCACAATTCAAATCCATGTTGTTCAAGGGTCAACTGTATTTATTTTAATTCAACAGCATTGTTTAGTAATTATCTATTTTGGCTTAGCATTATTAGATTCTGCAACATTAATACTTTTTCTAAATATTCCAGAATAGGGAATTGAACTGGAAAATCAGATAAGGAAATTTTTCTACTTTGCATTAGTTTTTTGTGTTTTTTTTTTTTTTTTTTTTTTTTTTACTGGATTTCAAACAGCATAGAAATACACACCAAAACAAGGTGATTTTATATCATAAGACATACTTTCTATAATAAATTAAGAAAAACCCATATGTATCAATTTCAAAGCCATAATATGTCAGTCTGGTTCTCTACATCTATAAGAGAAAAATTATGCTTGCTAAAACAATGTTTTAAATCAACACAATTTTCTTAGTTTCATGATATTCTGATGTAAAGCAGGTTATATTATTAAAAGAAAGAATTTAAATACCAGATTACTATTAAGTCATATAAGTAGAAAATGATAAGAATTAGCTGTCAACTAAATAAAATTTTTGTTAATTTCTAAACTACATTATTTAACAGAAGTTTACATATATTCTACTCTGACTGGAATATCTTCATTGACACTGCATAAATGTGAGGTCCAGCATACCTGTGTCATTGTTCTTAGTTTAGTATTTTGTTTAGATTACCTTCAAGAAGATCATCCTCGTCTATGCCTTTGACAATCTTTGATTTGTAGTCTCGGAAAAACATGTATTTTAACAGTCTTCTAAGTTTTTTCTATTAAAAATATAAAATCAGTAAATAAGAAACCTTATACATACATTCACTTTACTGAGTAAAGACTATAATAACTAAATTTAATAAAGTAGTACCCTAGAATCACTGGGGGAAATACGCCAATTCTCAGCATAATATTATGTAATAAAAAGAAATGTAGTCACAAATTAAACATAAAAGTTGAAACACAAGTATTTTTAAAAGCACTTTTCATTTACAAGTATCCAGATGCTCCAGAATCACAATAATTACCTTTATATTTTGGTCTTATAAAGAGTCTTAAATTCTTTCTGAAGACTGTGAGAAATATCACACTCTCCATACTAAGCTATTTTATTTTTTTAAATGATTTATAAACAATCCAGACAAGGAGTTTGTAACAACTGCTTTAAAAAGGCATGCACTCTCCTTTTATTGTTTTTTATTCTCTGAGACTTTTATTTTATTTAGAAGAGCTGGTTTATATTTCTGGAAAACATTCAGTAATATGAGAAACATATTTTTATGAAACTCAAAGCTGATTAATGATAGTTGGGTCTTAATGATGGCTTTCCTTAGGTTTATTAGAAAACCATAATACTGCTTAGCTTTAAAAGTAACTTATAAATACTTTGTAATTTGTTGTGTGCTTACACTTGGAATGTATTATTACTGGTTCTTGACCTTTAAGTTTAAGATATCATATCAGCTGAAAACTATTGCATTTTACAAAGCTCTTTTACATGCATTTTATTTGATATTTTCAGTAGCCCTGAGATATAGACAACTATAATCATCTCTTCTTTATACATAGGGAAACTGAGGTTAAAATTAGTCTTGCAACTAGACCTTAGCAGGGTCACATGTAAAAGATAACCTTTGAACCTTAGTTTCTTTATTTACAAAGTAAGAAAAGTACCTACATTACAGGATTATTGTGAGGAATAAATAAACTGCCTAGAGTAATAAGTAAAACATAGACAGTCAATAAATACTGCTTTATATAATCTGAAATTATGAAAAGAAAAAAACAGGTTTTTTGCTATCCTCTTCTCTTTGCTGATTCCGTTCAGTACTTTAGATTGTATGTTTGTCTTATATCACTCCTATGTAAACTACTTTAAATCCTGTTTAGAAAATATCATCATATAAATAAAAGTATTATTTTGAGGAGAAAGATGGTTACAATGGCAACTATAATATTATAGGTATGTTCTCAGGTGCTAAAATGATTCTGATTAAGAGTCCCACTGGACAGTAAAGGGCATTGTCAATTAGTGTATGCTCCTGAAGTTTCAATAAGATTTTAAATTTTACTTTCCCCAAAGTCAGGAAAACGTACCAATATGGACTTTGTGTGTGTATGCTAGCCTCTTCACCTCTGTCAGTGAAAAGGAAAAGTTGACTAGATACATTCCACTAACTCCCTCTTCCCAGATGCCTTCATAGGGAACCTTGGCTCCAGGCCCTCATTTCTGCCAACAGCACCTTTCGGCTCCTTCCTCCCAGGACCACTGCTATATAAGCCCATTTTTCCTTAGTCCTCCAAGTTTAATGGTCATCAAATCCTGCCTATTTTGACTCTTCACGATTTCTTTGAATTCTTCCTTCCTATCCAGTTCCAGAGCCATGACAATAATCAGATTTTGTCTAGATTACTCAACTAGAATCCTGGTGAGTTCTTCTGTGTTTGGTTCGTTCTAGCTATACTTGCATGAGTCTTACCCCAGGAAGAAACCTCCACTGCAAAAAAATCCTACAGCTACTACATCTAATCATATAATCTTAAAATTCTGTGAGTCTTAAAATGCTTCTTTTAGCTAAATCATACTGGTTTTCCAAACTAAAGTATATCTTCTTGAAAGTGAAGATATTTCTTTCTTTTCCTTTATATTCCTCAGACTACCGAAGAGGTAATGAGCCAAAATTTTATCCAAAAGGTCCAATGGGAAGGCTTTTGATAAAAAATAGAGCCACAAGCATACAAAAATGGTGGCAGAGGAATGGGTGAGTATAGTAAAAGGCCAGGAAAAACCAGTGGAGAAATGAAAGGTGGGACTGACACTGGGAAGTAGGCGTTGCTTGCTCATTTACAATAGCATCTGTCACAACACACTGTGATTTTTTTTTTACATGTAACTTTAACATGCAACTTATTAAAACACGTAAAATTTTATAAAATATTTTCAACTAGCTACTCATGGAAGAGAATTATGACAAAATTAAACATGTAAATACCAGCTTTGATATTTTTACAACAGTGTTCAAAGAATTATAAAAGTAGATCTTTAAGTACAAAAAACCCTAGACATTATGGTATATATTTATCCTAATGGAATATACATCTTGACTGATTTTTTATTTCCTATAAACTAGTGTCACAGAATAAACTTTGTATTTCAAGGTAAAAAATTACTCTCTGAAAGCCTGTAATACTGTATAAAATTAGAAGAAAAGTAAATATGCTACTCACTTATCAGAACAGTAAATATTTAATGACTATTATGTAGCAATGAACATGTCAAAATAGGTGTGTACAGATATGTGAGAATTAGTTGTCAACATAGTTTTACATACATGCCTTTGCCCATGTTAAAAAAAATAAATTATCTTATAGTAAGCCATTCTGTCATGCAAACTATGAAGACTAAAATGTCAATTCATTAGTTACGATACCAATTTGAAAGCTTTGTGAAAAGGGTATTTAGTTTCCTCATATAAGTATAGTTAAGCACCAAACATGGCATTTTAACTCAGTAGAACATTTTAGATTACCTTATCTTTGCGCATCAAAAACAGAAGATCTTCAGGAGATATTACCCTTGCTCCCCGGAGCTGAGAAACTTCAGCAGCTTGGTGTAACTGACAACAACAAAATTTAGGAATTTTTCTCAATATAAATTAAATACATGACAGTCGTGATGTCTCAAGAAAGAAAAATACATTAAATTAAATATTTTGGGGAACAATTCAGCCATCACATTACTATTTTTAAAAGTAAAATGTCTTATGTTTTAAGGCATAAAAAATGCAATTAAATTAACTTATAAGCCGATCTGTAACTGATACAATAAACAGAAATCCTTGATTTCTTTCATGCAAAAGAAAAATCATGTGCAGCTTCCAGAAATGCATTAATGCACCTGAAAATAATTTTATGAAATTGTATCCTCATATCCATGTGAGCAATGGTTTCACTCAGTATCACTAGTTGAATAAGTATATTATTAATCTGAGCTCCCATGCTGGTATGATTTGAAATAGGCCCATTCAGACCTTTAAAAGATCAACAAAAACAGTAGCTGTTTCTAATATCCAAAGGAAAAAAAATAGTTTTAGTTTTGGCAAGTCTTCAGTGGGCAAAGGATTCAGTCCATAAATCATAATACGGGACTGCATTAATTTCTTTCCACACTAGTCACATGCACACAGAAAGTTAACTGTATCTGGAATGCACAACACAAAACATACTGCATGAAAAGTTAGAGTCCCCCTGAAATGTTCATCTGGGCCCTTATATCTACAAAGTCGGGAGTTTTCTGGAATTCAGAAGTCCTAGAAACACAATCTTACTTGAAAATGACCTGGAAAAGAAAAGAATGTGAAAAATGATAGTCCTATTTTTTGGCACAGGCAATCACTTTCTTATTTTGATTAGTTAGAAGGAACATAAAATACATCCAGCTGAAAAAAATAAAGATGCTGCAGAAAACTCTACAAAAATGTGCCTGTAACTTCTTTCAAACTTGATTAAACCATAGTGATTGCACCAAACCAACTCTATCCAATATTACAAAAATATTTACATATAAAAGCTGTTTCTGAATGCACCATTCTTTGAAAGGAATAAATCTAACACATATTACTGAAAACTAATCTTTATAAAGTGACACACTGTTATCTTAACAATTATAAGAAATCAAATAGAGCATTTGTACTAAAGAAATTCTGCTTGAATGTTTAAGCGATTTTGCTAGGTAAGCTTCAAACCTTGTCTAAATACACAGACTACAAAATAGACTACAAACTCCCTATGTGTCAACCTTACCACTGAACTTCCTGGATACTGGTGGTTGGTATATAAACATAATTCTACCTAAATATAGAAATTTAAATTTAACTGTGAACCATTTAAAAAGAAATCTTGGGGGAAGGTTTTTTAAAAAGATGATGTATTTATTCAGAAAGAATCTAAATGTTTTCAGCAGGAAAAATTTAAACATTTTTTCTAAAAACTGGAAGAGTACCAGGGAAATAGGTATACACATGTGTGTGTTTTCCAAATAAAAACATTTATATCAGAGTCTAAAATACATGCAATCGGTGTGAAGAAGAATATGGACTCAATATCCATTCATCTGTACACATACAGAGAACAGGAGGCAGTGCTGTCAAGTACTACACAAATATTAGTAACTTCACTATGTTAAGAAAGGGTCAGGATAAGTATATATCCCTAAACAGCTTCTCATTAGTCAGTTATTTATCTATCCACACTACATCTATATAATTTGTATTTATAACACTCTCAAAAACATTCATTTACAAACAGATTAAGTGGGAAAATGAGAAAATAAAGACGAAGAGTTAGACATTTAATTTTTTTATTTTTAAAATATATTTGTATTGATTTCAGAGGGGGAGAGGGAGAGAGAGAGATAAAAATATCATTGATGAGAGTGAATCATTGACCAGCTGCCTGCTGCACACCCCACATTGGGGATGGAACCCACAACTCGGGAATATGCCCTGACTGGGAATTGAACTGTGACCTCCTGGTTCATGGGTCAATGTTCAACCACTGAGCCGCACTGCTGGGCGAGTTAGACATTTTAAAACATCTTTTCAAAACCAGTACATAACTAGTGTAGGGATCAGAAATTTATGTCTTGGTTAATTAGCAGGAAATCTTTACCTTTAGTTTTCATCCACCCCATTTGCTAATTTCCCTCACCTAAGTAGAATCCTCATTAGTACTAGTACTCTAGTTCTCACTAATATGCCTTGAACTCCTGTGAAGTGAATCCTCTGGACTGAAAGCTACCATTGTGTTACTCACTGAGCCTATCCGGCCCTCATGTGACCCTTGTCTCAAATTTACCTCTCCCAAACTCTTATTTTTTTTTTAAATATATTTTATTGATTTTTTACAGAGAGGAAGGGAGAGAGATAGAGAGTTAGAAACATCGATCAGCTGCCTCCTGCACGCCCCCCACTGGGGATGTGCCCGCAACCCAGGTACATGCCCTTGACCGGACTCGAACCTGGGACCCTTCAGTCCGCAGGCCGACGCTCTATCCACTGAGCCAAACCGGTTTCGGCTCAAACTCTTATTTTTTACTAAGTGAAGAGAGCAATTTAATTAGCTAATTATAGTGATCACACTAAAGTGTGCATTACCCATTAGCTTACTTCTAGAAATATTTCTCTACATCTACCAGAAAGAATAAAGAAACGCCTCTTCAACAACACAAGCTTAAAACATGGGTGAGCAGCTTTGGAAATACCAAAACCAGAAAACCCAAAATTAAAAACAAACCCTCTTAACATCTTCAAGTGCTTAAAACAAAAGGTTGATTCTATATTCTAAAAAAAATCCCTCAAATTCTTAATCCTTGAAAATAAATAGAAGTTATACTTTCTTATTCACTGTAACAAGTCAGTCATTAAAATATGAAAGAGTACATTCATACTTTTTATTATAATAAAAAATATACAATTAATTGTAAAATATGCAAGAAATGATAGCGTACAGAAATACTTTAAGACCAATCTAACTTCAGTGTGGTCTTTAAAGCCTGACTGACACAGATTTCCCTGTCTGCCTTCATTCTCATTATGTTTTTTGTTTATCTCTCTTATTTTTCTACATTTAAGCTCCAGTAGTTTCAGTTTTAGCTTTATGCCTTTGTGTGCTTGTGATGGTTACTTCTGTCAACCAGACATTTAGTCAAACGTTATTCTGGGTGTTATTTTTGAGGGTATTTCTGGATAAGGTTAATATTTGAATCAGTAGGATGGGTAAAGCATATTGCCCTCCCTAATGTAGCTGGGCCTCAACCAATCAGTTGAAGAACTGCATACAGTCATGCACTACTTAATGGCAGAGACATGTTCTAAAAAATGTATTGCTAGTAAATTTTGTTTTTGTGCAGAGATAGAGTGCACTTACACAAACCTACATGGGTTAGCCTAATACACACCTAGGCTATATGGGACAGCCTGTTGCTCTTTGGCTACAAGTCTGCATAGCATATTACTGTACAGAACAACACAAGATTAAATCACCACCAAGAGATTCAGTTAACACAAGATGTATGAGGCTGCTAGCTGATTAATATGACTTGCTGTTTTACAGCAAAAGTTTTAAAAATATATATATTTTTATTGATTTCAGAGAGGAAGGGAGAGGGAGAGACAGATGGAAACATCACTGATGAGAGAGAATCATTGCTCAGCTATCTCCTCGATGCCCCCCTACTGGGCACCGAGCCTGCAACCCAGGCATGTGCCCTGACAGGGAATCAAACCGTGCACTCCAGGTTCTTAGGTTGATGCTCAACCACTGAGCTACATCAGCTGAACAGCAAAGCTTCTTCTTCTTCTTCTTTTTTTTTTTAAATAAGTAGAAAGAGTACACTTTAAAATAATGACAAAAAGGATAGTATAGTAAACACATAAGCCAGTAACACAGTCATTCGTTATCACCATCAAGTGTTTTGCACTGTATAATTGTATGCACTATGCTTCTGCACATCTGGCACCACAGGTTTATTTCCCCCAGCATCACCACAAACACATAATGTGTTATACTATGACGTTAGAATGTCACTAGGTGATAGGAATTTTTCAGCTCCACTGTAATCTTATGGGACCACTATCATTGGTGGTCTCTCATTGACCAAAATATCATTAGAACAAAAAGGCTAAAGAAGAGAGAACTTCCTTCTGCCTGTCTTGAAGTAGAGCATGGGTATTTTCCAGCCTTCTGACTTAAAATGAAACATCTCATTGTTCTCAGACCTTTGGACTGGATCTGGCACTATACCTCGCCTCTCCTGGGTCTTCAGTTTGTCAACTACAGAACTTAGAACTTCTCAGCCTCCATAATTATACGAACTAATTCCATCTAGCTATCTAAATGTCTGTCTATCTATCTATCTATCTATCTATCTATCTATCTATCTATCTATCTATCATCTATCTATCCACACACATATAACCTATTGGTTTTGTTTTTCTGGAGCGTCTTAACTAATAAAGTAATTACTAAATAAATTATGAGAAATTCTTGATTCTTTCTTTTTTAAAATACAGGCTTCAAAATAATTTTCTCAAAGAAAAAACATCTATAATTATCTTCATACAAAATAGTGTTTATTACCTAACTTAGGCATGGCAATCAGTTTACAATATCTTAATTGTAGTTGTCAATAAGTGTTTTATCTTCCTCAACCAGTTATCTAACATTCTCACTTCACTTCCAAACTTCCTTTTGAATAATATCTCTAGGTCCAAGACCACCATTCCCAAAAGGCAGTTTATAAATCTTAAATGTTGACATTCTATTTCCCCTCGATGATTTTCAGTTTTACCAGCTATAATAAAAATGAATTGGGCTACGTGAAGTCAATAACCCCTGCATTTGGCTGTGGCCCACATAAATTCAGCAGAAAGATTTCTCTAAAGTTTCAAAAGTTTTTAAAAGTACAACAAAATAAAAAGAGAAAGAACTCATGGACATGAATAATAGTGTGGTGGTTGTGAGGTGGGAAGAAGTGGAAGAGGGCATAGGGAGGATAAATGGTGATGGAAAGAAGTAAAATAAAGAGAAAATAAGTAAATAAAAGTTCAACAAAATT